CATGTAAAATCAAGTTTAAAGTTCTTTCCCCTCCCTCTGTAATTGTGCATAAAAACTGCTTGCCCTTATGAATCGGGGCTCTTGTCCCTGAAGCTGCTGCTTTGGGCGTGAGCCCAGACTGGAGCCTGAATAAAGACCCTCGTGTGTTTGCATGGGAGCTGGCTCTTTGTGGTCTCTATCTCTCTCATTAGAGTCCCGGGTTCAACAAGGAAGTTATGGCCTGTGTGGATGTGCTTATGAGAATTGTTTTGTTTTTATTAGTGCTCCGATGTGTGAGTTTTGAATAGTCCACCCTGTATCTAGTTTTTCTCCACAAGTCTTCTTGTTTTTAGGGTGCAGTTTGACATAATGCAGAGTTTTGCTGGAACAAATGTATTGGGTTGTGATAGAATCACCTGTATTTATTGATAAATGTAGTTCCCTTTTTTCTCTTCAGAATCCAGGAAACACTCAAAGTTATATAACGTAAAAGTTTCCATGAAATGCCATAAACAATATATGGATAGATTTCACATTGTGATTAAGAAATGGCTTTTAAACATTTGATCTAAACTCCTCCAGACTTTCAGTGTCTTGAGAAAATATTTTAAGTAAATGGCCTTTCTCCAAATATATGGGAGTGTCAGTAATGAATGGCATCAATGAATAATTAAATTATAAACAATTTTAAGATTTACCTAAAAGTTGGGGCTTAGACTTACTAAAACAACATAAACATTTACAAATCAATCAATAACATGGACATTTAGCTGTAAAAGTTTACAACAGAAAGAAATTGCTGAAGTTATTATACAGTTTTAATCCTTTTCAAACCAACTTATTTTTCTAAGATTTTTGTATCACTTTTCAACATAAAATTAAAATTCTCTTTTCCTTTAGGCTTAATTTAATTTATTTTAATTAAGATTTAATGCAATAAATTCGTAAAGAAGGCGACAATATAGGTAGATTCATGTATATAAAGTAGCCTTTGCTCCTACCCTTTCTCTAGTCTTTAAAAAGTTTTCTTAGTTAATGTTTTTTTTCTTGTTCAGTTAAAAAATGCGTTTCTCTATCCCTTTCTTTAATTACTTGTTTTCTCCAGCATTTTGTTTGTCTTTTGGCCCCACCTGTCTGTAAGACCCTACTTATGTGAAGGTCAGCTGGCAGTCTCTTGTGTCTGAGATACTTCCAGGAAAGCTGGCATGAAACAAGGGCTTCTGTGTAGCCAAGGAGCACGTTGGAACCCATGAAGTCAAATTTATGCATTTTCCCCTCAGGAGAAGTTCTGATTCTGCTTTGAACCTAGCTGTCAAACCAGTCCTCTATTCACACACTCTCCTAGTTAACCTGATTATATAGTTGCCCAGAATGGGGATGGTTGAGGAATCTTGTAGCAAGATTGAAAAGAGTATGGTGATGTTAGAAGGAGGAGGCACATTTACAACCATCAGAAGGAAACTCTAATGGCCAAAAGAGATTGGGTTATTAAAATGAAGCAGAGAAGCACTTAGATGTTAGGTTATTGAGATTAGGAGTCTACTTGCTGCTAAGCCCAAGAGCTTGTTGCTAATGTGTGTAATTGACCCCATTATCACTTGAAGATTAGATTGTGTTTATTATAATCTATATACAAAGTCAAGGAAGTGCATACTACTTTTTTTAGAATTAAAAAACCTTATATACAGGCAGACATTTCAAAAGATTGATTTTTGTTTACTCACAAAAATGACCTAAGTAGATGTTAGATTCTAGAATGTTTGCCTGTCATCTTCTGGCATATCTTTACCTCTGTGACTACTGTGGTGATGTTTTTACAAGACTTTTTGTCTCTTTTCCTTGAAGCTAGACTCTTTATTTCACCTCTACTATTTTTCTTCCATGGTTTGCTTTCAGAAACATCTCAGTGCCCCCGGTGAAGGTATTCTTAACAGTGGTAGCTTGTGGATCCTGCATGACATGAACATCATGATTCATCTCTTGCAGCTCTTAAAGTTGCCATCTTTGAGTCTGCCTTATGGCCAACCCTGCTGTATCCACATTTGTTGACACTACTCCCCCCACATCCCTCAAGCTCCCCATCCATTTTCACTCTGCACAAGTCCACAGAATTTGTTTGAACTACTGTCATCACTTCCTATTATATTTACTTATTCAGCAGGTACTGAGTACTGCTCTAGGAGTTGGGAAAACTGGGGCCAGATGAGTAGAGGTCCATCCTCTTGAGCAGTTTACATTCTGGTGGGGGAAGAAGACAAACAAATAAAGTAAACTAGTAGACAAAAACAGAGTAATGTGATAGAGGAGGGCGGAGCGGAAAGAGAGGAAAGCCAGGAAAGGACTCTGGAGGTGATTCCTGAGGTTCAGCTGAGTAATGAGGAGGAGTTAGCCAAGGGATTATCTGGGGATGAACATTCTAGGCAGAGAGAAGGCAAAGATATATTCCCGAGGAATCAACTTTGAGGAAAAGAAAGCTCGTCCGTTGTGACTGGACCGTAGTTTGGTGGGTGCTGTGCTTGGATCCACTTAGTCAGTGGGTACCTAGGCTAAACAGAAGTCTTTCCTCTCCAGGCCTCAGCCAGTGACTGACCGCCCAGGGGTACAAAAGCCTGGCCTCCTTGCTTCAAGTGAGACTAAGGTTGACTGCAGTTGTTTCACCTGAGCTTCATGCTTCCTTGGCTTTCCCCTTTCTGTCCTGCCTCCTCACCTTTTTCAGTGAGATCTTGTCCTCAGTAAAGGTAAAGGACCCTGGCCCAACTCTGCTTCTAGGGGACCTTGACCTGGGCATATCAAGAACCTTTGACCTTTCATCTGAGCTCCAGACACTTATACAGCTGTTTGCTCGACATATCCACGTAGGTAATCCAGAGATACCTAAAGCTCAGGGTGTAAAAGATTGAATTCATGATAATTTCTCCTCCTCCAGCTTTTGTTTTTCCTGTATTCACTGGTTTATGATCCCACCTGTCACCTCGTTGTGCTGGAGAATTCAGTGCAGATTCTTCCTCTCCATTAGACCTCATGTCCAGTCACTCATCAGGTCACTTACACTGATGTCTCTCGCCTCCATGGTCTTTCTGGCTCCATGTTCATCACTTATTTCGTCCAGAACCTAGTCTGAACCCACTGTTTTAGCCTCCCAAGTGGCCTTCTCCCTTCCTCTCTCCTTAAACTCTCCAGTCCATTTTCTACACCACTACCTTGTAAAATGAAAGCTCCCATCCAGCCACTCTTCCACCTCTTGTCCCTTTAGGACCCGCCTTTTGGATTAAATGACAACTTCCTGTAGGATACAGTTCCTGTCTTCTAAGCATGGCTTACAGGGCCCTTGATGCCGTGGTATTGAGGCACCTTTCCTGTTTCCCCTCGGCTTTCAGCGGTGACTATTGTGGGTACTGCGTATTTCCCCATACAGCTTCCAGTTTCAGGCCTCATACTGTTCCTCAGACGTCCTTCCCCTTCTGGGCACTACCTGGAGGCCTCAGTTTTATGCTGTCTCCTTTGTGAAGTCTTTTTCTGAATCACTCCAGGAAAGTTATTTGTGCCCCACGGAGGGCTCTCAGAGCCACTCATTTCAGTGCCTTTTAATCACTTTATTTCTAGTCACTCACGGAGTTTTTTGAATACAGAACATGGCTCTTCACATTGCTGGGCATATCAGTACCTGTTTGTTGGGTGTATAAATGAAAGAATAAAGGAGAAATTTTATTGGGTTAAGCTTGTTGGTTTTTATTTGGGATATCTTAGTGACCACAATATTGTACATGCTCTTATTAGCCAACTCAATAGAAAGAAGAGATATAGAAACTACATAGATGAAGTGACTAAAGTAACACTTTTAGCTTGGATATTTTCTTTTTCAGGAAACATGGAATGATAGGGTAGGAGAGATTGCCTGAACACAACCTTTAGCCTTAAAATATGAAGTTGAGAAATTTGTTAATTCTTTTTGTTTTTTGTTGATTCTTTTAAATATTTAATATTTGCTAGCTCCCTATCTAGCATTGTGTTATGTGCCATGACTGAATAAGAAAAGTTTTAGGAGGCAGCATATGATCAAATCCTGAACAATTCAAATAAGAAGTGCTGTTGGTTTTGAAAAAGGAGTGTCTGTGGGGTGGAGGGGTAACCAGTCAGAAATGTAACCTCAGATTCTTGACAGACCTGTTGAGATGAAGTTGGCTATATAGAAATGATGTGCACTGGCTTCTAGATATTAAGGCGATCGCTTTCTCTGTTGGCTTTGGTGAAGATGAAGGTACATAATATTTATTAAAAGAAGAATTTATTGGTAAGATTGAGCCTTTGTTGCAGGAAAAAAATAGAGTTGAATATCTTCACAATGTCTTTCAAGATGATGAAGGTGAAGATGGTTTGCAAGTGGAAGAGAGGGAGAGAGGATTCATTTAAACCAGTTAAGATGTGAAGGGAAAATGCTTTTCCTCAGTTTCCTCACATCCTTGCCCACTCGGGTTTGGGGAACTTTGGGAACATTGACCACTCATCACTGACACAGCAGTCATCTCCTATGCCTTAGTTTATTAAATAAGCCAATATTTGTGAGGCCAGATTTCCTACCTGACTTTTAAATTTCTCGCCTTGGGTATTTCTCAGTTGCATTGTTTTGCCTTAATCTAATTTATGCGCTTTCGTGGCAGTGTGTTCCGAGGGGTAGGACATCCTTTCAACAAGGGTGGGTCAGCCACTCTCCTGTAGGGGGTGCTCTAGGAGTAGCAGTCTGGCATCCATCCTTTGCCACCTAACACCTTTGTGGCATGACTTGGCACAATTTGTCAACTGTGAGATCTGGCTTGTTGGTATTTTGTTTTTGAGGGTGGTATACGCTCTAAGACCACCAATAATTCTGCAGACTCGTAATTATGTGTCTGTCACTTTGGTTCTGTATATGCTGCACCTGTGCAATTTTTTTTTAACCACGTATTTGGTGCATGGTTATTTTAGAGTTCTCATTATGCTCCATTTGCATATGACAAATATATACACATAGGCATTTTTGCAGCATGGTGGCTGAAACTTGGGCTTCTCTAGGATCCTGGATTATTCTTTAATGGGGGTGTCACTCAGGACACTTACTGGCTTTCTCTACTGCTCTTTAACAAATGTAATTGAGCATGATGAGGTGCATCCCCTTGATTGAATGCTTTTCCTCCTGTGTGATCACCATTAGCTGTTTGGCTCCCACTCTGTGTTCTCTTGAAGCAGCCCTGCATTGCAAATCAATACTTATCTGAGAGACAGTGTGCTGTGACCGCCTGGACAGCGTATGCACGGCTGCTTGGCTGCATTGCTGCTGCAGAGCCGGTTACTCTGCCTTCCTGGGAACTCCACAGGCAAGTCCATCGTGTTTGCAGGAAAAACATCAGATTTTTTGGGGGAAAATTTTTGAACTGTTAAAGCTATTGATACTGAATGTGAGCATGTGCTTTGTGTTCTTCTGAACCATTTTGGGTCTTATTCCACTGAGATTAGCTTCTCTTAGGTGATGTCTGGGTTTTTGTCTTTTCCTTTGCTTGTGCTTCCCCCTCTCTTGGTTGTAGTACGGCCGTACCATTTCAGCTTGCTAGTGCAGAAAGATGTGAATTCAGTTGCTGTAAGAGCCTGGCCTGGTATAAACACATTGCTAGAGACATGTTAAAGAGTTCCAGGTGAATCGAGCCTGAGGGAGACAACAGCAAAACGGTAAGACAGAGCATGCTTAAAATTATAGCAAGGGTTTTAATTTGGAGCATCTCGGCAAGTCTGAATCCTGACTCACTCATTTACAACTTGAAAAGGATTCGTTTTATGCATGTCATTTTACTTGCTCCCTTCTATTTAACTGCCAAAAACATCACCAATTGATAAAGGGGGTATTTAAATTAGGAATTTGACAGGAGATTACTCAAGGGAGAGTCTTTTGAGGTGCTGGAGGCTATTGCTTGTAGTTTGTAAACACCAGAGCAATGTGAAGATGAGGAAAAGGCTTGACTGCTTCTTTGCCATAGATGAGTCTTATTTCTTCCGAAACTAGTCTTATTTATTATGGCTTAAGGAGATCCTATAGATTATTCTGCCTGGCTGTGCTTGGCTGAATGCCCTGAGTCAAGCAAGTGAAGGGCAAGACACCACTTTTTTTGGCGGGGTGGGGGATAAACTGATGTCCGTGAATTTAGCTGGATTGGATCTGAGTAGAATAAATATCTCCTTAGGGATCTGGGGCTTCCTCCCTGCTCATCCTCTTCCCTCCCCTTCTGAGCACAGACATGCACCTGTTTTGAGTGTGTGCTGCGAGCAGAGGTCAGTGTGCTGGTATTTTGCATCATTGCACCTGTTATGGTTATACTCTCATGTTCAGATGTGATCATCCTTCATGCAGTTCTGTGCTTGAAGTGCTGGCTGACCTCGTGGTCTGTTAGCATTTTGGATGGTATTGGAGAACCTGCACGTATGGAGGACCGGGCAGCAGGCAGGCTGCTCCAATAAGGCATATAGAGATTGAGAGGTAGACATGTAGACCTTGACATCTTCAGAGGTCGAATGTCTGTTTCCTTAGTTAATTGTCACAGAGTATTTGGTGTAGGGGGCTTTGAACTTGAAGGGCACATTTTGATGTTGTCAGAGCGAGACTAATGCATTACATGGTCCTAGTGAGTTTGTATGGAGCCACCTATTCTGTAGGTGCTGAGTGTCATGAATGTCAGCATTTGATTTCATACTTTAAGAATACTCCACTTACATGCAGTTTAATTAACTTAGTAATTTATGTAAAATGTAAATGATGGAGATGGTGAATACTAGTTGAGAAAGTCATCAGTAGCTTGTGTGTTGGCTGGAAGCCAACTCTATAATTTTCTGACATAAGTAAATTTAAGAAAGAACATCTGATTAGTTAATAGGCTCATTGAAATACATGCTGATAACTGTTACGGCTCACTGTAAGTATATTTCTTTTATGAAGGGGAGAGTCTTAAAGATACTTCTGTAGTCACTCAACTATTTACTATGAAGATTGGAGATTGGGCATTTTTTGGGGGGGAATAAATATTTGGGTTTTCTTCCAAAGAGAGTTCGAATTTTCTTTTATTTTGAGTTTTTATTATTTCATAAAAAATAAAGATGAACTGTAAGCTATTCTTTTTCATACTTTGGTTGTTGATATTATTTGTTTAATAAATAACTTTTTCTGTTTAGAAGATGATGTGCCCTATGTTTGCTGTTTCTTTTTCTGAGAATGATGTGTTCTAGCTATATTTTGACCTTTACTCTGTGTAAGTTATGAAGGTTTTTCTTTCTGTGACAGAAGTAATTGTATATTTGCAAAAAGTAACTAATTTTTAAATAATGGGATAGTAGAGTAGTAATATGGCACTGATTTTATAGTCATACAGTTTCTTCCCTCATTCTCTACAGACATTTGCTAGTCAACTACTGTGTGTAAGACATCTGTGAAGGGAATACAGATGACACAGATGCAGTCCCTTCCCCGAAGAAGCTAAGATATGGTTTTGCTGGTATTTTTCCTGGAAATGCTCCATTATATTTTCTCAGAGAAAGTCAGTTGGTGCTTTTTAGTCCTCTTCTTTTGAAAAAGCATATTTTTGCTGAACAAAACATCTGTGGAGAGTCTTCTGTATAAGGATGAGCAAAACAGATCTGATCGCGGTCCTCATGAAACTTACAGTTTATTTATTTATTTATTTTTTTTTTGAGTCTGAGACTCACTCTGTTGCCCAGGCTGGAGTGCAGTGGCATGCTCATGGCCACTGCAGCCTCGACTGGCTGGGCTGGGCTCGGGTGATCCTTCTGCTTCAGCTTTCCAAGTAACTGGAATCACAGGCATGTGCCACCATACCCAGCTAATTTTTTGATTTACTGTAGAGACGATGTCTCGCCATGTTGCTTAGGCTGTTCTTGAACCCCTGAGCTCAGGGAATCCCTCACCTCCACCTCCCAAAGTACTGGGATTATAGGCTTGAGCCACCATGCCTGGCCAAGACTACTTGTTTTTAAAATATTTCAAGGAGAAATTCTGTGGCAAGTTGTTTGTTGTTCGTTTCAGCAATTGTGGAGGAAATGCTGGTGTGCTTTGATTCTTTTTTTTATTGTGGTAAAATATATATAACACAAAATTTACCATTTTTGAGTTTATAGTTCGGTGGCGTTAAGTATATTCATAATGCTCGATTGCCTCTGTTCATTTCCAGCACTTTTTCATCATCCCAAACAGAAACCGTATTCATCTGTACTTCCTAGATAGTAACGGCTCATCCCTCCCCTCCACCCCTCCTCTAGCTCCTGGTGAACTTATTCTGCTTTCTGTGTCTATGAGTTTGCCTCTTCTAGGTACCTCATGTTATATTAGATGGAATCATATCTCTTTTGCCTTTTGTGTCTGCCTTATTTTCCTTAGCCTGCTTTCAAGGCTCATCCATGTTGCAGCATGTATCAGGATTTCATTCCTCTTAAATGCACACTTTGATGTTTATGTGAAAAAGACTGCAGTTATCTGTCCTTATTATATGATGTCTTACACACGATTGTTCTTATTATATGATGTCTCTAAGTCAAGTTCCCATATGGACACCATAATAGATACTCTAGATAGACTAAAAATAATAGCCTGTGGGAAGGGTCCAGGAATAAGGAATAGAAATGCACTGAGGGAAAGACCTGTGGAGATGTTCTATTTGGATTCTCGATGTGGCCTGGTGATTGATCCTAACAGTTGGGCCGCTGAGATTTTCATGTCAGTTCTTTGCTGGTGGAGAGCCAATGGTCAGCTGAAATACTCAATGGGGAGCTGGACTATGTCTTTTGCCATCATGAACATTTGAATTTCACCCACTGTGCTTCTGGTCCCTTACTCTAACTTTGTAAAGCAAAGACTGATCATGTTGAGGTTCTCTTACAGAATCAGGGAATCTTAGAACTGGCAGATACTGTAGAAATTATATTGTCTCATTAGTTCATGATTATTCATTAACCAGTGTCAGGGACACCACTCAGTCTCCTGCTACCCGCTGTGGGCCTTCTTTTCCTGTTCCTGTTTTCAGTGGACACTTAGCCAGGCAGCCCCAGGGATCCTCTGAATTTGACCAAAATGGGAGCGGGGGTCAGCTTGATGCCATATTAAGCAGTTTTGTATTCAATGAGGTAAGTCCTGCTTCATCAATATAGCTTTCACTTTCTCAAATTTCCTCCTGATACTGCTTCTCTTAAATCTAGACGGTTTTTCTGACCGGGGATTCTTTTTCGAAAGCCGATTTAAGACCTTAGAGCTGTCCACTTATTTGACGTGGCCGATTTGGCAATGAGTTCATAGACATGGTCAGTCAGCAGTTTATATGCATGCTTTTAATTCACTGTCTAGGGAGTCCCAACATTTATGGAGGAGAGTCAACATGACAGCATCTAACACCCAAGTCATCTCATCTTTCCAATTAGCCTGGGCCTTCTTAATGAGTCTTATTGCTTTCTGCCCTTCTCCCAGCAATTTTTCTATTAGGGCCTGAGTTTTGATATAAAGTCGATTGAATCAGATTCATTAAACGCATGTTACATTTGAATAGTAGGTTTGAGGGAAAAATGGGCCATAAAACCTTAAACCATAGAACAGTTATTTTGCATGGCTTTATAATAAAGTTGAAAAAAAGTGCTTTTCTTTTGCATTAGACAAGGTAAGAGAGAATGGAGAGAATTATTGCAGATAACGTCTGTCCTTTGATTATTTCCCTCAGGATATAAGTCCCAGGGGATATGCTAGAATGACAGCAGGGTGGTGGTCAAGGGTTTAAGTTTTGTGTCCCAAGTCCTGCAATAAATCCTTACTCCTGTGTTTACTTTCTGTGTGGTCTTGGGCGGACATGTTACTTCATTCATATGTACTTCAATTTAATCATCTGTACAATTGACATAATAATAGACATTGCTCATAGTTGTTGTAGAGATTAATTGAGAAACTATTTTTAAAGCCTTTTTCATAGTGACTGTTAATAAGAGGTCATTAAAAGTTAGCCATCATCATCACTGTCAACTCGTCTAGAAATTCTTAATTTCCATCTCTCTTTTCTGTCAGCTGCATTATATCATGCATAACCTTCCCTTGTGTGCTTGATTATAGCACATACATGACTGTTTCTTAATATTACAGAGTTTGAATAGATACAAGGAGGTCATAATAGAATGCTTCAGAATTCTATTTATCATCTGATAGACTTTGGAAACGCATATGCTCTGTACACTTATTCTTCTGCCTAGTTGATAACTTGTTTGCCCTGGGGCTTATTCTTCAGCAGCTAAATGAAGTCTCACTCGAAATACAAGGTTGCTAGTAAAATGCCTCTGGAAGCACTGAGGTTTGTTTTCTTTTTCTTTTTCTTTTTTTTTGAGTTGGAGTCTCACTCTGTCTCCCAGACTGGAGTGCAGTGGCCGCTCCCGGCCACCGCAGCCTCGGCCTGCTGGGCTCCGGTGATCCTTCCGCCTCAGCCTTCCGAGTAGCTGGAATTGCAGGCATGTGCCACCACGCCTGGCTACTTTTTGATTTATTATATAGATGAGGTCTCGCCAGGTTTCCCAGGCAGGTCTCGAACCCGCGGGCTCAGGCAATCCACTCACTTCAGTCTCCCAAGGCGCGGGATTACAGGCTGAGCCACCGAGCCCGGCTGGGGTTTGTTTTCAAGGGGTGACAAGCAGCAGGACAT